GTAAATTGCCAAGATGCTGAGACTGGAGAGACACTTAGTGAGTTCTTACTTACAGACCTGCATACTGAAGAGACAGAGGTGTAAATGAAAGTACAGTTTAGGCTAGAAAGCTTACTTACAAATGAAATTTTGGACGAGACAAAGCAATAAAATGCTGTAGTTTCCATTTTTCTCTGTGTTTAAGGATTGATCTAAAAAGCCATGACTGTAAATTGGGAGGAGGCTTTCAGCAAACTTTGGACAGGAGTATTCCTGTATGCTTTTCTTCTATTTCTGTTTAGACCATATGATAAAGACAAACATACATCCCAAAAAACCTAGTCTATGTTTTTATAAAATGTGTGAGCTCCCTCAGTAAGGTTTTTGCCTTGAAAATATTGTTGTTTCTGATTTCACCATAGCAACGAATAACTAGGTATTTCTGGTGGTTTGTGAAAAATATCCTACTGTGGTTTGAAGGTGCAAGTCCTAATCTTTCTGGCTACCCCCTTTTTTTTCCTCCTAGTTTTAATTGCCTTTTTAAATGGATGTGAGAACTTGGCTAACATGTAAGTCACTTGTACATGGAAAAGGCAGCCTGCAAATACTGCTGCAGCATCTCCCAAGAGATGTGGGTCAGCCTAGTATATTAAATGGTGCTGGAGGGAAGTATCTGACTATGAAGACACATGAAATGGTCTGTGCCAGTGCAGCAAGGTGTTAAGTCTTAGGTATCTGTTAGCATGTGGCAGGCCAGAGGTAGTGGATGGAGCTGCCTAGGAGTAAGTGACAACAATGATTTACCCATGTTTCTTGTTTGAAATCTTGTCTTGGCTTAACAAGACTTCTAACTGGACAGTCTGCCGCGGGAAGAGCCCGTGACCTGCGTGCGGGAGAGCTGCCTGGGCCAGGCTTTGTCTTCTGTGGGAGCAGCGGCCGGGAGCACCGGCTGCGGCTGGTGTCTCGGGCAGGACAGCTCGCGTCTGGTTTCCCCAGGATTCGCCCTCGCCGGTGCCGCTCCTGTTGCTGTCCCGGCAGGTGCTCAGCACTCGGCCCTCTCGGATACCCAACTTAGGGGGCGTCTTGAAAAACGTTAGTCGCACTGACCGTACCCTGTACTGTCAGGTTTATGTTAACTGCTCGGGCTTCGGGGTGGTGAGGGAGAGGGCACGGGGCAGCCTGTGGGGCGTTTTGGGGGCTTTGCTTTTCCTGTCACAGCAGCGTGTGCGCTCCTGGAGGCCCGCAGATGCCTGTCCACCCTCATATTTTTACAGGATTTATGATGCCGTTCAAATCGCGCTTCGACAAGTGCCCCAAGTTAGAGCCATATGTACGGCTCTGGAGCAAAAGGCTGGCTCCAAAGAACCCCAGGCTCCAGGGGTTTCTGTACTTCGGTGTAGGAAGCCTTCTCTTTAATTAAAACGAGTATGAAAGAAAATGCCCCAGCCCTTCTGTCTGCACAACTGCTAGGTGCAGCTGCTGGTCGGCCTTGGCTCCATGGGTCCCCCAAGGATCCGCAGCACCCGCATCGTTGGCGTATGTGTTGGTTCCCTTTCTCCGGGGTGAAGGTTGTTCCCGTGCAGGGCTGGGGTCTGTCCTGGCCCCCGTGTCAGTGATCACAACCCAAAGGGTGAGCCCAGCAGGCAGCCCTCTGCCTGCCCTGCTTGCCCAAGTGGCCAGTGGTCAGGAACCTGCGTGCACAGCCACAAGCTCAAATTAATGAATCTGTGCTTGTCAGTGAAAATTATTTGCTTAAATGAAACCATTTCTGATGGGAAGGCTGTTTCCATACATTCGGGAACCTGAAATTTTGAGCGAGGTGGAAGGGAATGTTGAAGGGCAGAGTTGAGAGGTCTTGAATGTGGTCACAGCAGTTTAAATCAGATTACCACAAGCGGCATTTGTCCCATCATTAAGATGGTCTGTGTATTTTTAGAGTTAGGTTTCTAACTATGTCACTTGATTTGAAGGTCCTACAGCCCCTGACGACCTTGATTTACCATGTGAATTATTACTCACTTCTGCGGAAGGAACAAAATGCTGTTAACTGTAAAGCACAGTGTAATCCTTTAATCTTTGTAATCAGAGTTTTGACTGCAACTTTTAAAAATAGGTCTGATGCTGAACATCTCTGGTAGAAGTTTGCTGAGAAGGTGAATGTAGTTAGAGTGGCAAAGCAGTGTGTGTATATGTCTCTCTTTTTCAACTGAAATTAGGTGGAAAATCTGGGTTTATGGAAAAGCGAATAACTTAATCGGTTCAATTTGCAATATTATTCAATCTCTCTTTTCCTAATCCTACCAATCATGATTTTTTAAAATGTCTTTTTGAGGGACTTTTTAAGTTTCAGGAGCATAAATGAGGCATACGGAGGGTCAGAAGTTTAGATAAGAGCCTACTCTTAAAGCTCTGCTATTCCACTACTGGTCCCTTGAAGACAAGGGATTTAGTGCCATGTGCTCTTTTCTTCCCTTTGCTCCTTTTCTCCCGGTTGTGTGGTGTTTCTGTGGCTGCATGAACTGGAAGAGGGGAGAACAGCAGAGAACTCCAGGAATGATAGGGAAGATATTTTTAGCCAGAGTGGAAATGCTGGAAAGGAAAGGCACAGTGAAAAAGACCTGTGAATTCTTAACTTGGTCTAGCATGAACTGCTGCTTCTTTTTGTTGCAAAAGCTATGGCTTTTGATTACTTTTCCCATTGTGTGTGAAAACTTGCAAAATGTATACTTTCTAAGTGTGTGTGTGTGTGTGTGTGTATATATATATATATATATATATGGGAGGTTTTGTATGTGTGTGAGAATCAATGTGTTCTGAAACTGGTTCCTTCCTTCTGTCTGTATAATAAGTGTTGATTAAACCTTGTACTTTCTGTAGTATTGATTCCTCCTGTTCCCAGCTTACTGGCTTCATGGAATTTTATTTTTTTTAATTCCCAGTGAAAGGTGTGCACAACTCTTGGAATAGGTATTAGTCTAGCTGAAATGTCAGTATTTCTTCAATCTGCTGCTGCTTCCATTTTCTTCCTCATTTGTCTAAAGCTGCCAGGAAGGGAAGAAAAAAAAAAAAAGAGATGTGGCAAGACTGCTGTTAATATTTCCTTTCTTCGCAGCTGTAGATGCACACTTAAAATAGTATGACTCATCTTTTACATCCTTTGATCTTCTATGACTGATGTAAAATGTTGCTTCCTAGTAGGCACAAGGTGGTTTTACTTTCATTTGCAACTCTCCTTCTCCAAGTTTATAGTCCCAACTTTGATAGAAAGTAAGAAAGAAAGGGAAAATAAATAAATCAGCCTGGACGAAGGTGGGGAGAATCTGCCTTCAGCTGTTCTTGACAATAGATTCTGAATGTCTGGTTTATGTCAGAAAAAAAGAAAGGTTTTGTTTTTCTCTCTTTACTTTGGTAGTATATTTGATTTTTTTTCTACTTCATTGACTTTTCTTTCTTTTTGCATTGCAAGCCCCTTCTTAGGGAATCTTTCCCATCCCATGTCACATATTATTATTTACAGAGAAACTTAGCTGCATGTACAGTGGGGAATATGCTCTCATAATCTCTGGTTTTCCAGATTTTGAATTCAGTCTGTTCCTCTGGATTTCAGTGAAACAAAAAGTCTTAATCTTTAAGTGAACTTTAATTCAGCATCTGATTCTAGCTAGAGATCTGTAAATGAGGCTTACTTTAAAGAACATCACAAAACATAACAAAAATGTGGACATCAGCTTTGTTTAATGTATGTGTACTCCTTTTTGTTTTGCTTTAAATCTGAGAACTTTGTCTTCATTTCCTGTCGTGTTTTGAATTCCTGAAACAGAACAAAGTAATTACACACAATTTGAAGTAGCTGCCTTGAAGTTAATCTTATTCTTGGGGGTGAAGGATGCCAGTTCCAGCTCCTGAGATGTGGAAGGGTAGTCTTCTGAGCTCTAGGTGACCTCCGACTGGTCACCCAGCTCCGCTTGCCTGTTTCCTCATCTGTAGACAGAGTCTAACACTCCTTGCCTTTCCTAACTCTGTTTCCCAGCTCATGAAATGCTCGTTAGGCATGATTTCTTGTTGCTGAAAGGTAATGATTTACTATAGCCTCTTGTGAAATGCAGAATGCTTTCTTTCATGCTGTGCTGAAGAGGCATATTCCTGCTGAGGGCTGAATCGGCATCACAGAAATGATGGCATGTCCCTCAGTATTCCCCAACACCCACCTGAAAACGGCTCATGGATGCTTTATGGAATGAAACATCTTGATCCCCAGGCATTCAGAGTCTCTCTTCTGCTTTCAAGACCAGTTCCATAAGAATAATTTTTCTAGACAGTGATGGTTGGAAAGGGTGGTGCAGGTTTGTGTGCTGTGAGTTGTAGTGAGGTGGAGAAAACAGGACAATGTGGGAGGGTACAGACCCCAGCAACAGCAAGAATGTCTGAAGCTTTGAGCTTTTTCTCATCAGCTTTCTCTTTGGCTTACCTTAGGGCTGGGCTTCAACATTGTTGGTGGGACAGATCAGCAGTACATTTCCAATGACAGCAGCATCTATGTCAGCCGGATCAAAAAGGATGGGGCAGCTTACCTTGATGGCCGGTTACAAGAAGGAGATAAAATTTTAGCGGTAAGCCCTTTCTTCTGTTGCCCCATGTGTTCTTGAAATACAGTGACCGGTGATGTGATATGAGATGCAGGTTTCCTGTTTGCAGTGCATGCAGAGGAGGGATGTGATGAATGGAATTAGATGATGCTGAGCAAACTCCATGGGGGAGCTATCTTGGGGGTACGGGGAGAGCTTTGAGCACTAGGGAGATGAGTGCCTCTAGACATGGGCCCATCTCTTCTGCATTCTTGATTTGTCTCAGAAGCGCTCCTTGGTGCTGCGTTTGTATTTCCTCTGTGACTTGCCTCCCTAAGGTTTTAGAATCCATCAGACCTTCTCTTGCTCGCAATTGACAGTCATTTACACAATGTAAATAAAGGTCTTCCACCTATTAAATTTCCATTTTTTTTGACTGGTAGTCCATGAGTACTGATCCTTTTGCTCAGGGGGATTTTTTGGCTATAAAACTTCTAGGCCACAAAACTTTTAATTTCAGTTCACCAGGAATAATACAGGCAGTTTCTCCTTTTAGAAGAATGTTTTAAAGTGACTGAGGTTCAGTCCCACTGGTTCTTCAGACAGTTGGCAATCATACAAGACAATACGCTTTACAAAGTGATAAGTGAAGAAGTAACCTCTCCTAGTGTGATGCATGATCTTTTAATACACCTTTATTTTATACTTGCTTATTATGTTCCACATGTAATCTTGTTAGCCTCTATAGAGTGCCTTGCACTAGTTGTAGCCTATTATTGATCCAGAAAATGATAGTAAGTTAAACAGAGAATATTATCCTCTCTTTTCTTGACAGTTTAATATTTATGTATTTGTGTTGGAGCAATCTAAGTATCAAGAGAAGGGAGGCACTGGATGTGATCTCAGGGGATACAGTTAGGGGTAGTGGGAATGAAAAAGAAAGATTAGGATGGATATCATCAGTTAGCGAATGAAATCAAGTAGGTTGTTAAGCCTTCTGCCATGAGATATTATTTTAAATTAAGAAAAATTCTAACACTTTTAAGTGGATGCCAGTATGTATGTAAGTATCATTTTTTTTGTTTTGGTACAGGAGTATGCTTTTAAACATATGTTTACAACACTCTTTCAGACAGAAAAGTTTCAAAGGTGGACCAGTAGAGGGAACAGTGTGGGAAAGACTCATAATAATAATTTTGCTGTAGCTGCACTTTTGTTTTCATTAGCTGTCAGAATTACACCTTTGATTTGTTTCCAGTAAAGCAACAACATAAGAAGCTGCTATTGAAAACAACTGTTGTCTTATATTCTGATTTTGCTTCTAGGTAGTTTTTTTCAGTACCTCTGTGTTTTGGCTTGGAGTTTCTCATATTATGTCTCAACATATAAAAATACATCTATAATATGAATAGATGAGTATGGATCTTGCTGATGATAATATCATGCCCCAAATGCAGAATTTTGTGAAAGAGGAAGATTTTTATCTCCTAGCTTTCCTATTAGCCTCCATCATTAAAAATTTGCTTTTTGCCCTTCAGCAACTGGTTCTTCTTTTCCCTTTTTGCTAGGTCAATGGCAGAGACTTGAAGGATTTGCAGCACAAGGATGCTGTGGAACTGTTCAGGAATGCAGGCTGTGACGTGTCTCTGAAGATTCAGCGCAGGGTATGTCTTACCTGTTTCTTAGTGTTACTTCTAGCTCAGTTTAGACTGATTTCTCTGGTGGATAGCTCTCTGCTTCATGAGGCATAAAAATATTGTGTCCAGGTGGTCACTGTCAATTATGCATATTTTATTTGAACTACAGCCTCCTCTAGTTGACCACGGCTGTAATTATTTGTGCATTACTTGTATGTAACAGTATTAGTGAAGAGGTGAGCTTGGAGACGTTCCCAGGTCTTTGTTTTGCCTGGAGTATGGGTTTTCTCACAGATCTCCTTTCTCAGAGGCAAAGGTTTGCCTGTGGAGGCAGAATCATGTTCTCCAGTTTTGTTTCATAAGCCAAAATCTTATAAAACTCCCCTTTTGTTTCAGAGGTCATCACTCACAGTAGTGTTGAGATGTGTGTGCACACCACTACTACAAGAACACATGGTGCTTGAGCATGTCCAGAGAAGGGCAACAAAGCTGGTGAAGGGTCTAGAGCACAAGTCTTACAAGGAGCAGCTGAGGGCACTGGGCTTGTTTAGGCTGGAGAAAAGAAGGACCAGGGGAGACCTTACTGCTCTCTACAACTACCTGAGAGGAGGTTGTAGTGAGGGGGGTGTGGGTCTCTTTTCCCATGTAAGAAGTGATAGGACAACAGAAATGGCCTCAAGTCGCACCAGGGGAGGTTTAGATTGGATATTAGGAAAAATGTCTTCATTGAAAGGATTGTCAAGCATTGGACCAGGCTGCCCAGGGAAGTGGTTGAGTCACCATTCCTGGAGGTATTTAAAACATGTGTAAATGTGGTGCTTAGGGTCATGGTTTAGTGGTGGACTGGGCAGTGTTTGTTAACAATTGGACTCAATGATCTTAAGGGTCTTTTCCAACCTAAATGATTTTATGATTCTATGAAATGTGGGCTACTAATTAAAAAATACTAGCACCATTTTGAATACAGAAAGAGAGAAATCCTTAATCCACTGTTGTAATTTGAACATTCCTGGCTAGCATTGAAGTTGACAAAGGAAATACTGATCAGCCTGCTGGTAGGGAGAGGTGAGTTGAGGCCGCATTCCTACTCCCTTAGTAAAGGAGTAAATTTTCTGGACCAGTGTACATAGGGCAGGTAAGAAAAGCAGAGAGAACTTGTGATGCACTTTTCCTGGTAAACACACCAAGAAATTGTGTGGTTGGGTGTGCATCAAGGGATGACTGGGTGTGTATGTGTCATTGCTTCTGCTGTATGAGACATACACAGTGCCAGCTGTTAGTCCTAGCTTACAAAGTGGCAGAGAAACATGAAGGTGCCTGGTGATGACTGGGTACTTTGCAGTAAAAGCTCAGTCCATCCAAAGCCATTCTAATTCTCCCATATGTGGAGTGTATAGGTGCCTGGGGAAACCATCTTGCACATCCTTACAGAGCCACCTTGTCCCGACACAGAACTAGGGGTCTGCTATGATGGCTCTGACACAAATACTTTTCTTTTTCATTGTAGTTGCAGCCACAAAATGGCCCTGTGGGTCATCGGAGCGATGGAGAATCAGGTGGGCTTCCTCTAGCAGCCATTCTTGTGCCAGGCCTGGCGCTTGCTGCAGCAGCAGTCTGGATCTTGCTGAGGTATCGACAGAGGATGTGAAGAGTTCACGTTTCGGATATCACTGCGTATTTTACACAGCGATTATGTAATTTAAAGATAGAGAATCAACGATCTTATCACAGACTGATGTCAGAAAGGATCATTGCCTATCATAAAGCTGCTGCTGATGTTCTTTATATATTGATTTTGTTGCAGGGTGGATGGAAGCAGAGAGGAAAAGGGGAAGGGCGGTGACTGTGTTTATGTATAGAGTGGGATAGCTGGTTTTTTGACTAATCTGAGGAGGTTTTGCCATCCTCCTCTGTTTTGCACCATGAACTTTGAAACACTCATCTATACCATGTTTTAAGATGTGACTTTTGGTTAAAGGGAGTAGGGGTTGGGGTGGTTTTAAATCAAAAATATTTACTACAGGCTTTGCCTTGTTTCCACTGAATTTTTCTTGAAACTAATGATCCCTGTCTGAACCATGAATAAAAAGAAGCAATGCAGAGGGTATATTATTTTTTCCATTGAATTTTTGTTGGTTGTTGCTAATTAAATGCCTTAAGAAAAATGTCTAAAACATAATCTGTGGTTTCACAGGTAAAGTCATCAGTGTAGCTGCTGATTTAACAGTAGTATACACAGTGTTGGTGAGTTATTCTACCAGTTCTGGAAAGACAAAAGATAGCCTGCTGCTAGAAAAAGACTTTGTCAGAATGATTGCTCATTCTTGGGTCAGAGTTGTAAAAGAAAGCTTTCCACAATATGCTAGCATACTTGGAGAGAGACAGGCAGACAACTGAATCACAAGGATGAGCACTGGCAAGAGATCTGGGCATGCTAAGGCTACAGAAGAGTCTTTAAATTAGTAATGAAGCAATAATCCCTCCAGTCATCAAGTGGGTTGAAGTCTGCATCTCTCAGGTTAAAGGTCTGTTTTGGGGGTTATTTTTTTGTGTGAGGACTATTTTAGATACAAGTTTTCTGTAGCAGCTAACTTGCTGTCTGCAGTCACAAAATCTTAGGATGATTGAAAGGGAGAAGCCGAGAGCAGGCTGGGATTGTCCTGGCTTGTTCTTGTTTGTGAAGACTGATGTGATGTTCAGGAGACAGGCTGGCAGGTGTAAGGCAGGGTGTAAGGCTTAGTGTGTAAAACCAAAGGGAGAGACCCTGGCTCTGGAAAGCATGTTGCAGAATTTACCTGCAGGGTCTCATCTCCTCACTGTGATTTGAATGGTTTTAAATGCCTCAGCTGACATGAGCTCTGTGGGGTAAAACCTCCTTCTCTTGTCTCCAAGAAATCAATGTGTTTTGTTGTTTTTGTAAAAGAAAAGCAAAATGCATAGTCTGTTCTGTATGATGCCAAAAAAATCACATATGCAATATATATATTCAAACAAAGAAAAACTGGTGTCTCAGTGCTTTACTTATCTCTTGTTATTTATTTTTCTAGTCAAACATTGCTGATGTGTTTGAAATTGTTGTGTGTTTGCTCAGGGCTGTATTCCTGCCGTCTGCTGGAGATAGAAATGGTAGGGTGTTATACATGATGTTCCTAAATCACAGTGGTGTTTTGAAGCACTCAGACCACATGAAATCTTGCTTTGGCTTATATGCTGCTCTAGTGTAAGGGGAAATGGTAGGAGTTTTGCTCAGTGTCCTTAGGGGACTTTGGGAACAGACTTGAGGTTTGGTGAACGTATATTGGTGTTGGATGGCCTGGGCTGATGTATGTGGTGACTTGCCTTGGCCTGCAAGCCAGTTCTGCCTGCTAGCAGAAGGGCTGCTGTTTGGACAGAGCTTTGCAGATGCAGCACAAACCAGTTTGCTTGTCTGTGACCTCCTCTGAATATCTGGATGTGGTGTCCATGTGGAGTGTATTAATGTGGATGATTAGATGTTGGTGCTGTTGTACCACAGCCATCAGAATAAAGATGTGGATAGTAAGTAAAAGGTCTGTCTGGGACAAACCTCTTGTTAGTCCCTGCCCGACTTGAGTTTCTGTGAGAGGGAGTATGTGGAACAGGCTAGGAGGATGAGGATTTGTGGAAGTGATTATTCATTTCCCATTGGAGTAAGCAGAGAAAGCAAAGCCTTTGCGTTTTTTTTCATTGTTTGGTTTTTTTCATCTTTGAGCTTTGGGATTTTGATACTGTTCAGACATGATTGCCATCTGTGTTTCCGGCATTTTATTATGGGGGGAGGGTTGTATCCAATGCCCAGATAATTGATGTGGCTTACGGATCAAGAAAAGGCCCTTCTGGTGCATAGTGTTCCTCTTGGATTTCTTTTCACAATTACTGAATAATTTTAATACCACAGCATTAACCCCTGTGGCTTTTTCAGAAGTTTGAAGAGTAGTTTTTATTAAGAATTTAAACCATCTGGTCTAGAACACCTTTCTGTGCCTACTGCCTTCAAACTAGTGCCTGAGGAGTGCCACGCAATCCCTTTTCCAATCCCCAAATCCTTGTGGAAAATACACCTTGACCCCAAAGTCTCCTGTGAGCTGTGGCTCATACTACCTTCTCACAGCAGCTGGACTGTCTCACCTAAATTTTGTGTGTTTTCCAAAGTCTTTTTCACTGTGAGATTTCTGTAGCCTTGAGTTTCATCTTTACACTGAATGCTGCATGTATGTTTTCTGTCATTGCGGAAGAAGTGAATTAAAAGAACATCTAATGAGGACAGCTTGTAAATGCAAGCAATCAGAGAAAGTTTTAGCGTTTGTTACAACTTAAATCTCTGGGTTTTGAAAAAAAGATAAGTTGAAATCTTGAAGACAAACGAAAAAAGCATCCTAATTTGTAAGTTTGGGGTTTTTTTTTAAGAACTCAGTCACCATTAGTACTGAGGGTAGCTGAAACTCTTAAATCCCCATGTTTCTTTCTCATTCTCATCTGTTCCCTCACCTTATTGTGAATTTAGTGACCTGCTGAAGCCTGGATTTTCATATCCATAGTTTAGGGACAAATCAATCTATTTTGACTTTCTGTATATTCTAGGCATTTGAGTGTCTTGAATTGCATGTGCTAATAACATGGATTTGATTTAGGCGTAACAGTGAGAAAGAGCCGCCAGACTTGATCTGAAGATAGGAAGATGCACTACTTCTGGCATTTTTTAATTAAAACATACTAGAAAGGAGCGTGTGGGAGGGAAAGATGCCTTGCTTTCAGTTTGCCTTTAGGTTCCAGCAACTGGTTTGTTAGGTTGTTCTGTGCTAGATTAAAGAGGCCTCTAATAACTGATAGTCCCTCCCTGTGAGAGGATTTCTGTGTTGTAATTGCCTGCCTTCTCACATTATTTTTAAGAAATGAAGCCAGCTGTGCCCTTTAAGTTTCTCAGTGTAAGATACTTTTTCTCTTGAAGTAGTTTCTCTGCCTTTCTGCACCCTTTAGAGTGTTTCTGTACTGCTTTGTAAAATCCAGACACCCCAACCACGTGCAGAATCTTACTGCTGAGCATGTCAATGCCATATAGTAGGAGTTTTCCATATCATTTTTACCTGCAAACCCTTAACTTTTTTTGGTGAAGGTGCAGACATGTGCAAAGCAAATTTAAGCCAATTTCTAAGGGCTGGATTTTCTTAAATAGCTTTTACAAATCTCTTAGAAGTGGTATACAGCTTTCCCCTTCTTCATTTGCTTTCTCAAGTGCCCTAAGAATCTGTGAACCACAGAGTAAACACCATTGCCACATGAAAGGTAAATTCTCTTAATTCCAGTTTGTAGATCAAAAGAGTAATCCCTTTTGGTCATAGTGTTACACTAGAAATGGGTGTTAAGTGCCTGTATATTCTGATTTCTAAATCCTTGTCCATACCCGATGTGACCTGCATGGTGTGGGTGAGGGTGTCTGAGTTTGCATGTTGTCGAATGACTGCATCTCCTGTTTGTATTAGCTGTGAGCACTGACAGGCCCAGATTACTCTCTCTCTGCCTTGTCTGCTGTGTTATCTACTGGTCCACTGTCTTTACTAGTACTGGTTTTGTCTACTGCCGGATCATCGGTGAAAATACTGAATGGAGTTTGGTGCAGACGCAATTTCCCCCTATGGTTATGATTTTTCAGTAACTGTTGGTATCTCCTGATTATTGCATGCTTTGTCTAACAGGTGCATTTTTATAGTGGATAGCATTGATTTTTTATTTTTTTTTAAAATACATATATCAGCATGCTGCATAGTACTAAGTAGATTACATCTGAGTGTTCAGTAAACTTCATCTACTGTCTTGCTGGCAGAAGCAGATACAAGGGTAATAATCAGGTCAGGTGAGCTTTATGAGCCAGTCTTCCTCCCATCCTCTTTCTTAATTTATTGATGCGGGTTTTACCTGTGGAAGTTGTTTTCCTCTACTCGAGCTGAAGGAAAGAGCAGGTAACTTACTGGTAAGACAGTGTCCTACAGGCGGGGGGGGCCCAAGGGAAGGGTTACGTGAAGTGTGAAGGAGGGCCTTACCTATACCCTTGTCTTAAGGGTTTTCTTCATGACTAGCTTTAGGCAGATGCATGCTGCATCTGTGCTGCTGTGCTTGGTATGTGTGTCCTCTTTGAAGCTCTGCTCTGTCTCTCCCCATGTGCAGCTGAGGGCGACTCCAGGCCTTTCAAAGCTTCCTCAAAGAAGGATCCACATACAGTGAGAACGTACACTTATTGAAATGATGAAGAATGCTGTGCAGACTCAAAATGGCTTTACTTGTCAAATTTAAAAGCTTTGGTCCTTGCTGCTGCAGCTGTAACTGACCACAGACAAGCTTTACTGTAGAGTGAGCTGTGTGTCTCTTACCTGACTGCCCAAACCAACTTTCCTAGGCTGGCACTCTTTGTAAGTGTGTGTGTGAAGTATGCAGGGTAATTATTCAGAGTGGCATGTGAATGACTGGAGATCATTCATCAAGCTTTCAAGCTTGTGTTTGTGTCCAAGTATTCCAGCCATGTTTACCTTTGAAGTTCTCTTTCCTCTCATCTCATCTCTCTTCACCACCTCTCAGCAGCCTGGTGTTTGTGCCTGGCTTGCATTTTTTGCCATGACACAAAAGCAAGTGTCAGAAAAATTGCTGCTTTTGCTCTGTGTCAGCAGGCACTGATACTTGTTAGCTCAACTGTGTCCCCTTAGTTGCTCTGAACTAGCTATCAGACTGGGTGTTACTCCTTTTCTCTTCCCTTTGGAAATGAACGTTGGCACTTAGTTCTGTGACAGCCCTCATTCTGGCTGGCTTTTCAGGTGTTGGAGGGCACATCACCAGAACACCAAGCACAAGCCTGTTCTCTGAGGTAGTGGAGGCTCTACAGTTAGGGCAGTAAGAAGCTTTGATCAGCTCTGAACTGAGCCCAGAAAGCCCCAAGACCTTTACTCTGTGTTTATGTGGACACGAGAAGCTCTTGCTGAGTATCAGTATTTCAAGCAGGATGGTCCACTCTCTAGAGCAGTAGGGGATGGATTCCAGTTTTGGGAACACCTCTGAAGATCTGTGTGGATGTCATGGCAACTCCCAGCTCCAGGCCTGCCCTTTTTGCCCTTAATGTGTGTCTGATGTGACAGTCCACACTAGACCTGTAACCCATGTCCTGCTGTGGGTTGGATGGGCAGGATAGGCAGATTTTAGGGCTCACCACCTAGATGACTATGTATCCACAACTTCGGAAAGTGCAGCAGAAGTGCAGTTTATGCTAAGCATGTCATTGTTCTGCTGTGACAGAGCATTCCCAGAGAAAGAAGAGAGAAAGAGAGAAAGTTTAGCAAAGGCAGAGTTTTGGAAAGAGCTGTACTTGGGCATGAGAGCAGGGTTGTCTGTATATCCATGGCTAACAACATCTCTGGGAAGAGTTTTTGGAAGAGATTTAGAGTGGATGAGAAAAGAAAGACTGAAGAAAACCTTTGTTCTTATTCATAGTGTGTGTGTGTGTGAGAAGTGTGCTCCTAAAAAAAAAAAAAGGGAAATAATATTTAAAAGAAATGTTGTCTGAACCTGGTTCAGTAGGACTGCTTGGGCTGGGGAGAGGGAGGGAGAAGGTCGGCGCACACAGCTGGGACTGGCCAATTTAAACACAGGGGTTTTGGGAATGGAGAAGTAGCAGTGTGAGGTATAAACCATGCTGTTTTTTCATCTTTGACACCAGCCACCTGCTTCAGCTACTTTAGTTTAACTAGTAATAAGCACTTCATGAACCATTAGAGCACTCTGGATGTTAATAACATTCATGTAAATAGACTAGAAGCTCTGTTTCCCTGAATCGCATAAAATTTAGAGTTCATAGGTAGTTGTCAAGGTAGATTGCTGACATTAATTGAAAGACATCAAGCTTTTAAATGGGAAGTAGTCTAAGTTAGATGGTTTTGTGGTTATTTAACATTTGCTAGTGCAGGA